TAGTAGTAGTAGAGAGAGAGAGAGAGAGAGAGAGAGAGAGAGAGAGAGAGTTTTAAATGACCCCCAGCATCAGGGCTACCACAGCCTAACAGCTCTTGCCACTCACAACTTTTTTGCAGATATTCAGCTTCTGTTTTCCTTTGGTTAATTACATTCTCCATTCCAAACATTGGTGCACCTTTTGTATGGAGTTGTGTAAAATGCTGTGTTTTGCTTTGTATAGTAACCAGGCTTGGGGGTATGGGGGAATAACTTAAATGAGCTGAGGGATGGAATCACAGAGCCCTAGTGAGGGCACTCAGTGTCTTGGAAGTGTGGGCTCCGTATACTATATGCCAGCACAACACTTCATCTACCACTGATGTGGAATGTAGCAGCTATTTAACACTACACAGCAGTGTTCGGATCGAAACAGATCAAGACATCAGATAAAGAATCTGACATAAAAGAAACCACATGGGAATTTTAGGTCAAAAGAATGCAATTACACCTGTTAGCCCCATTGCCCTGGACAGATCCTCAATACCCTCTACTCTAACAAAAATTCTGTCTCGGTGTAACAGCCAAGCAATAAGGGCCTTGGTTTTATCTGAAAGATGGCAGCACGGTAGTTGGGGCACTAACACAGTACTGACTCGGAAAAGCGTGCCCTGTGATGCTTCAGCACTTCCTGCTGTATGCAGGTTTTCATTTAAAGGTCTTCCATCCAACTCTGATCCCGTTTAGCCTATGTAATCTGATGAGAGAGCCACAGCCAATGAGGAACAGTCTGGTTAGGCTTTTTCTGTTCATTAAAGGCTCTAGTCTAGGGGTTCTCAAAACACATTTTTTGATGGCCTCAGAGTGCAATTCACAGCTCTTGCTGGTGGCGCTGTGAATCCGCGAGTGTAGCCAAGGCCAGAGTGGCTACAACTCACGGTGTGAGTGTAAATGCTTGCAGCGCTGTACTAATCACCTTGTCAAGTGGCCAATCCTCTCCATTGTTGTGACCGGCTGCAGGAATGCGGAAGTGCCGGTTTCATAGGATTACCATATTTTAATTTTTAAAAAGGAGGACACTCCATGGGGCCCCGGTCCCGCCCCAACTCCGCCCCTTCCCTGCCCCAACTCTGCCCCCTCCCCTGAATGCTCCGCCCCCTGCTCCTCCCCCTCCCCTGCTTCCCGTGAATCAAATGTTCGCGGGAAACCTGAAACAGGGAGGCAGCAGGTAGGCTGGGGCGGGGTGCGGCGCGGCTCAGTCCAGCCCCCCTGGCCGAGCGGCTCCCTTCGGCGGCCGGCCAGCCCAGGCCAAGAGGCTCTGGCCCCGGCGTCTCCCGCCCGGCTCGGGCCCTGGGGCCCCGGCCCCCAGCCAAGTGCCCGCGCCCCCGGCCCTGGCTCCGGCCGAGCGCCGACCCCGGTCCCGGCCCCCGGCCAAGTGCCCGCACCCCCAGTCAAGTGCCCACGCCCCCGGCCGAGCACCGCGCCAGCCCCGGCCAAGTGCCCACGCCCCCGGCCAAGCACCGCCCCGGCCCCAGCCCCTGCCGAGCACTGCGCCAGCCCCCGGCCTCGCACTGCCGGGCCCTCCCTCCCTATTTTCCCGGACATGTCCGGCTTTTTGGGATTTCCCCCCGGACGGGGATTTGAGGCCTAAAAAGCCGGACATGTCCGGGAAAATCCGGACGTATGGTAACCCTAGGTTTCAAAGCTCCTACCACAGAGAAAAGCAAACAATTTGCAGCTTGCTTTGAGTGAGTAAATGAATGAGCAGGGGGCCGGGAGTTTGGAACTTGCAAAATAGACAGCTAACATGCTCCAAAAAGCACTCTCTCTCCACCCACACTCCCTGTCACAATCCACCCCCCCTCCCGCGTTTTGAAAAGTACGTTGCAGCCACATGAATACTGGGATAGCTACCCATAATGCACCGCTACCAACACAGCTGCAAATGTTGCAAGTGTGGCCATGCCACTGCGCTGGCAGCTGTCAGTGTGGACAGACTGCAGCGCTTTTCCCTACTCAGCTGTACAAAGACAGGTTTACCTCACAGCGCTGTACAGCTGCAAGTGTAGCCAAGACCTACGTCTGCTGTGAAAAGTGATATTAGCAAACACACAAATATCACTTTTCACAGCAGATTTACTCAGCCCTGACAATCCTGGGGACAAATTGAGCCCTGGATGGGGAGGTGGGTACGGAGGCAGCGGGAGCCAGGGGCAATGGGGCACTAGGGAGGCAGCGGGGGCCAGAGGTGATGGGAGGGGTGGTGAGCTCAGGGAATGGCGCCCAAATCCCCCAGGCTGCCCCATATGAGGATATAATGCTTGTTCCACCCCCCGCCAGTCCTGTTATCCCACCTGATTCTTACTATTCCTATTTACTGTCTCTATTGCCAGAGCACCTCAGAGCCCCCGTCCTAGACCCAGACCCCATTGTGCCAGGTCCTTGACAAACCCCAAAGAAACAGCCAGTCCATTGTTCTCCCTCCACGCCCACGTCATGCCCAGGGTCTCAGTGTCCGTGGCTGGGTTGGACAACAGCCTCCAGCTCTGGTCTCCTCTCTGTGCCCCCAGCCCCAGTGTGACCCTTCTCCTGTGCTCTCTATTGCAGCGCCTGGACCTGTTGCTGCGAGATTGGCAGCTCTCTGGAGCCTACGGCGCGGACGTAGGGCAGGAGTATCTTGGAGAAATCACACAGGTAATGATCAGATACCACGTGTGTTCATGGAAACAGCAAACTTCGGGGCGGAGCTGAACGTTTCCACAGCGGGTCTGATTCCCTGCTGACGGCCACAAATGTTGCTTTGACTCCCGCAGGACCTGGAGGTCTCTGCTGAGCAGCCCCTGGTGTTGGAAGCCCTGAGGGCGAGCGGCACCCGGTGCTACCTATTGCCCCACCCTGGCACTCAGTTCACCCGGAGCAGGGCAGGGACGCCAGATGGTAAGAGACCCTCATCTTCTCCCCTCTCACCCCCTGCTCTGCTCCCCCAGTCCCCACCCCCTTCTGCACTGCCCCCACCCTCTTCCCTGCCCCCATCCCCACCCTCTCTCCTCTGCTGCCCCTTTCTTCCCCTCTTGCGCTTCCCCCACCCCAAAATCCCAGTGCCCAGCTCACCCCCCTTGACTTAGAATTGACTCTACTGCCCACTGCACAGGGGCACTCGCTGGGTCACAGCATCTGTGTGGGAGGGGAGAGGGAAATGGGCGGGGTCACTGCTGGGGTCCTGGTCTGCTAGAGGAACGCTGCTGGTGTCCCCCTTTTGGGTCTTCATGGGTCCTCT